AAAATATCTTATTTTTGAAAATTAAAACTTCAAATTTAATTTTAAAATATAAATCTTGAAAAGTAGGGAATTATTTAATTTCCACATATATTATACATATAAAATGAGGTTATGTAAGGAGCAATCCACAATTCCAATGTTATAATGGGTTAAACAAAAATATGAACATCTTATTTAAGATTTCTCATCGTTGTGTTTAAAATACAAAGTGCAATTAAGCCAATGTTTGTCTCCCTTTAAAATAAAACTATTTAATTCTCGTACTTATTTTCAATAACATATTTATATAATAAAATATTTTGCAGCAAACCCAAAATTTTTTCCTTACCTTTTAGTCACATTCTCCAAAAAATCATTATTCAAAACACCATTTTTTCTTAATAATAACCATCAAACAAGGGCTAAATATACAAGCTACAAAACGAACAATAGAACTGAAGAAATGTTGACGACTCATATTTGACCTTAATGTTATCCAAAAGGACATCTTTGGTATATAATATTATACTCGACTGGACAAGTACAATAGACAAATTTAGCTTTCATATTTTTTTTTTGTCTATTACTATATAATCCACCCTACCCAACAAACTAGGGAACGTGATAACAAAACCAAAAAGCACGAAAATACCCATGCTTGGCTAAGTTGGCAATGAGCTTCTCACTCTCTCCCACAAGTCCTATGAAACATCGAACAATCAACGCTAAGGGTACAAATGTTTGATTCAGTAAGAATACTGGTCTCCTCGTCATCTCAGCCGTTTGATCAATTTTGTGCCATCTATGATGCTTCGACTCCACTCAGGTTTTTCGAGCTCTAATAATCTTGCAAGTACATCACAAGCTTCAGAAAATTGAATTTCTTCAATAGGAGAGTCCTTGAGTGCAAATATAACTTCATTCAGATCTTCCTCAAGCTGAAGGGAGAAAATGTTGCTAAATACCTGGAAAATATTCATCAAAACAACACAAATTGCATCACATAAAAAAGGTAATAGAATTTTGGCAAAACAATGTAAGATCTAAAGAGCAGAAGAATTAAATAGTCATGTTTGCATATGATAAAAATTTTAATTCTTAAATAATAAAAAATAGTTACTTATTATGAAAGTAGCTCTTATCTTATTGTCAAAATAAGTAACTTACTCTTTTTCCTACTTTAACCGATAACAAAGATTATTTATCTTAAACTAACTTATTTACGTGTACATAAAACTTTTTAAGCTTAGCCAAACATAGTCCAAGCAACGAGATCGTAAGCCAACACTATGGTATGTATCCTTGTTAGGATCATACTCCTAACTCCAGTTCTCACCGTTTGTAATCTTGAGAAAACTTTATCCTCAACAGCCAAGGACCTCGAGACTAAATTAATGACAAATAGACCTCGCTCGGAGAGTGAATTTTTGACAGTTGAAAGAAGAGACTCTTCGACGAAGTCTGAAGCAGTACACGTTAAACCAGAGCTGCACAAGAAGGGGATCAATCAAATACATTCAATTTTAAATGAACAGAAAAATATATAGCTGAAGTTACAATAGTATTTTGAATAGAGTTACATTTACCTCAAGTCTGAAGAGTCTACATCAATAATAAGTACGTCAATTTTGTTAGAGCTCCTTCCATCTGCATGCACTTCAGTGCTACTTCCATTATCTGTATCATTCTTATCACTACAATTCGGAGTTGATACATCAACAGTCTCAAAATTCGCCATCTCCCTAACAAACTTAATCCCATCAGTGATATGTACCTAAAAAAAAAAAAAAGAAATTGGAATTTCACATCATCCACAGATTACAAGTAAAACGAGCATCTTAAAGTAAAGATATAAGCATGCTTTAAACGAAATTTAACACGTTCACGTGTAGAATACCATTTCATTGGAACAAGTAATTGATGTGGTTCAAATTCAACACTGTAGATATATAAATACACACTTTTTCAAGAAAGATGGAGAAAATTTATGCATACATTTTATAATAGAAGATTAAGCCCCCGTTTGGCCCCCATTATTTGATGTTATAATTTTTGGAATAGTGTTTTTTTTTAAGAATGTGTGGTTGAAAAAGAAGGAAAGTTTTTGATTTACGTGTAATATTATTTTATTGGAGAATGTGTGGTTGAAAAAGAAGAGAAAGAAAAATGTATTATAAATTAATGTGGGCCAAACGGGAGCTAGGTATTTATTCAGCCAATGTATTTGTACTAATTAGAGCGCTCTCAATGTGTTGTATTCTACTTCTCCGGAAAATAACATGTTCATTTCATTCGGCTCATGAATTGGTGAGTATGCTACTTAGCTTCCTGAGCTGATTTTTCTGCTTAATTAGCAGCAATTACATCAATTGCCAAACGGGAAAGGAAAGATACAGAAGAGAAATTGGAATGATTAAAGTTTGACCATGATGGATTTTGTAAAAGCAAAAA